AAAATTAATATATTAGGAAAATATATGCAAAATATAGTAAGGCATTTTTTATTATTCACTCTGACTACAGGAGTTTTTTTAAGGACTTTGAATTTTAAAAATATGATGAATTCAAAAAATGATTAAGTGATTTCAGTGCAATGTAGAATAACAATGTGGATACCAAATAAAAGAGAAAATCCTGTAGTATTAAAAAAATATGAAAATTTTTGGTGCGAATTGACGAATGAGTATGGAAAATTACCTTTTAAAATTTTATCCCTGAATAACCTTGAAAATTTGCAATATTTTTTTTGAAAAAAATTATATATTAAGGACTAATATACAGACGACCACATCCTCGAATGCCGTCCTCCTAATTCTATTAACTTAAAAAAATAAAATTAATTAAAAGCGCATTTTCAGTACGTTGTTAACCAAAAAGCCTTACTGATTTTCAATTCTACAGGATTCGCTCCTACATTTGGTACTCATATTGTTATTGTACATTCCACAGATTTTTTTAAATCGTTTTTTGAATTAATCATATCTTTATCATTTTAAAGTCCTTTCAGAGTGAAAAACTAAAAACGCAGCTTTACTATATTTCATGAATCAAATGAAAATATTTTTTAATACACCACGTTTCTATGAATAGACTAAGAGTAGAAAGTAATTTTTGCTTTACCCATTGAATTTATCTTGATAAGTCTTGAATTTAAAATGTTTACAAAAGTCGATATAAACAATTTATGTCTTTTACGTGGACGTTTTTATTTTACGATATTAAAATCAAAAAATTTGTATTGAAATCAGCTGCAAATTTCTGATTTTTCCAATCTTTTTCCAATATATTAAAAGTTAACACAAAAACTAAAAAATCTAATAAAAATACATAAGATATGTATGTATGTAAGTGTGTTTTCTTCACAAAAAAGGAGAACTCCGATTTCTATTTTTCCCCCATAAATGAAAATTTAAAAAAATAATGTAATAAATAAGTTAATATTTCTTTTTCTACTAAAATAACATATCTTCGATATTATTAGTCCTACATATTTTGGTATCCTAACCTTTTTTGTAGAGCATTAATTTGCGATCGAACTAAGCTAAAATAGAAGTAGGTGCGCTTGGGCCACACTGAAGAAGTGAAGCTTACATAAGTTACATATCTAGTTTGTCTCATAACCAATATAGAGGTTTTTTTATTTACATACATATTTATTTACGTACACAAATACATACATCTGCTTTTGCTTAAGGTGATATTTTTTGTGTTTTTTCTATCTGGACCTCAACCCTGTTCGTTCTAATTTTGTTATTCTGTCTTCCTTTATCTTTATTTTTATCTTTATATCTTTTATCTCCCACCAATTTCGAGTATGCAGCAATACTGAATGAAATGAAAAGGGGCCTGCTAAATGGCATTAAAGCTGGCATAGAAGTCAGCACTGATTACATTACGCCTGTTTGGTACTTCAATACGAAGATACCCATAAGGTTCCCGACTAAAAAAGAATGGGATGCAGGACTACCAGTAGCAGAGGGAGGTATATCCATCTGCACTGACGGTTCAAATATGAAGCAAGGAACCGGAGCCGGTATCTACTCGAACAACCTGCAGATCAACCGGTCCTTTCGCCTACCGAATGACTGCAGAAACGGAGATCTACGCTATAGAGAGGGCGGCTAGTCTTTTACTTACTAGTAGAGTTCCAGAAGACAAAGCCACTATGTTTTGTCGACAGTCAGGCAGCACTGAAGGCAATAGGATCTAGAATAGTGAAATCGGGAATTGTATGGAAATATCGTACCACGCTTTATACTCTTTCGATAACAAAATCGATAGTAATATCCATCAAAACATCAATAACAAACCCGATAAAAATATCGATAATAAAATCGATAACAAGTTCGATAAAAATATCGATAGTAAAATCGATAACAATATCAACAGCAAAATCGATAAATAGCGATAAAAAAAACCGATAAAAATATCGATAAGAAAACCCATAAAAATAAAATTGATAAAAATATCGATAAGAAAATCGATAAAAAATATCGATAAACAATTCGATTAAATTGTCGATAGAAAATTCGATAACAATATCGATATCATAATGGATACCATATCAATAATAAAAAATATCGAAAACAAAATCGATAAAAATATCGATATCAAAATCGATTATTTTATCGATAAGTTCCGAAAGTGGAGCGAACTTCGTTACAAGAAAATTCGCTATCAAAATTAAAACACACTGCAGCTTGTATTCAATGTTGCACACAACGACGCAGCTCGTTTGACGAATCGGTCACAAAATCAGTAGTCAGTGAAAAAATAGAATTATTTATGCCCTTTTCTAGCAGATAATTATCAGGTAGAACATGATTGTAAAATTTGGGGAATCATTTTATTCGGCATTCAGCTGATGCGAATTTCATTTCGGTTTTATTTTACTGGTCGAAATGTTGCGGCGAATATCACACGACGGCTTCGCTCCGTCCGAAAAAATTCGCTCTGCGATTTCGGCTCTGTTTATACTTTATAATGCTGGATTTCTACTAGGCATTAAATGGCAAACATTTTAATGACAAAATTGCGCATTAAAAATTTTCGTGTCATTAGGTTAAAAAAATAATCATTAAGTTTATTTCCACATGACACCAATTTTTTGTCATTTCAATGCCTAGTGGAAATTCGGCATAAGTATTTAAGTGAATAAAAGCAAAGAAAATCTCCAAAATAAAGAAAAGGCTTTATCCACCAAAGAGTTCAGGCAGAAGATTACAGTCGTGATTTGTTGGTTGTAGTGACTCCCAAGTTGCCACTAAAGGTACAATTGGCGCATAATAGCGCAATTTTGCTGCATTTCTGGTGGACAGTTTTATTCCACCTGTCAATTTTGCTGGTTTAACAAACCACTTATTAATTTGTGTAAAACGGTTATCAAAGCACTAAATAAGTCCACTAACTGCTTCATTATTTATTTTCCGAAAGTTGTATGTCTTAACGAAGTCAGACCTGGGCTTTCGCAGGTAGCTGCGGCATATTCTATAAGCATGTTTTCCCAGCGACTAGTGACCGGTGATAGTCGCTACAACTATAAATAATTCGACCCTTGATCTAGTTAACACCTCTGCTGCTCTTTTCCTGCTATAATCAGGTCAAAGCTGACGTGCTGTCTTAAAAGTTTGCATGCCTGACCACCTCCTCCTTGCTATTTTTATAAACTGCAAGTGCATTTCTCTTTGTATTTGCCGGAGGGGATATTTCAGTACCACAACTACCAATTCACAAGTTCACAATGCATACATGCACATCTAAATATGTACGTAAGCCTCGGCGTCTATTAGCACTACAACAAAGTTCAAGTACTTTCCATTGTTCACTCCAACGCATGTGGCATGCCACTTCAACTGACCATAACAGTTAATCGAAGTCACTTAACCTTTACCACTCGTCATTTAATTGCTGTCGACTTAAGACGATTATTGCAATAAATCTTCTGCAGTTATGTAAGTGACTTTTGACCCTTTGTCCTTTGCGTTGCTTTCTAATTTGATAGGTAAAGCATTAGGTAAATTAAATTTGCATTAATGTGGAAGGATGAGTTTACTATGCGTATGCATTACGATTAAATTGAGTCGTTTGGTGAATTGACTAATCCGCTTATGGATGACATAATTTAATATGATACGACTAATTGATAAGCTTTAGAATCAGTAGATGAATTTGTATCACTGCCAACCGTCTAGGATACCGCCTGGCATTGAGCGCTCCTCCCTCCTCATCCCTATTTACAGCCACGAGGTCTGCATCGGGCCAGAACTCATCAAGCCAAGAGATCGCCTGCTTGTCTCTTATCTGCAAAAGACAAAACGACGGACCTCCTGTGGTTCGACGTCGGATTTGTGCCCGGGTGATTTCTGTCTTTGGATGAAATGTTCTTTGGCGGCCTCACAGATGGCCCTGGGAGCCATTTGACGGTTTTCCAGGGCTGGTTTGTTGGATTATTTTAACTACTTTGGTTCGTTGGCGGAGTAGTCCTTGGTGTCCGAAGGTACGAATATATTTTTGAAGCTCTTAAGAGTTCTAATAGTAGTCCTACGGTATCCTTTGGCTTTGGATGGGCTTTCTTCGACGAAAGGCGTTGGCAGATGAGGTTAATTGGACTAGTTTTCGAGTGCACTGGCGATGGACGAGTCAACTTTAGTGTCCATTGTCTTCTCAGCAGGTTGTTTGGAACTCAAGTGGCGGTCGTGCAGATCCGTTGGAGGCCACCAGACTAGTCCTCCAAGTTTTTTTTGTCTACGATTTTTCGTCGCCGGTATTATGACACCCGAGACCGGGTTAGGGTTTGGATCATACACTGGTTCATTCAGTCCGGAGGCTCCTTTAAAATTCAGTCGTCCAATGAAGACCGGCTCGCATGATATCCTGGATTAAAAGGAGACATATGTCAGACACCAAATGCAACATCGCAAAAAATATAGAAAAAAGGTTTTTTCTTAACAGCGGTCGTCCCTCGGCAGGCAATGGCAAACTTCCGAGTGTATTTCTGCCATGAAAAACAGCTTCTCATAAAAATACCATCGCCGTTCGGAGTCGGCGTAAAACTGTGGGTCCCTCCGCTTTGTGTGACAACATCAAGGCGCACGCCACAAATAGGAGGAGAAGCTCGGCCAAACACTAACATATGTGTAAGCGCCAATCTATTATATTATTATTATGTCAGACACCTCCCAAGTCTAAATCCGTAGTGTTAATATATTTATTAAGGAAGTAGTTAAAATAAGAGACGTCGTGGATTCTTAAGCATTCGAAGCCAGTGCATTGTATAGTCCTAGCCTAGATCCTTGAGTGCCTAAGCTATTGTGCTCATCTCAGCAAATAAAAAAGTTGTGTTCGTTTTACTTGCCTTTCTTCATTTCATTTTTGTTTCAATATTAACATATATTTTTTATTTTATTGAATTAAACCAAGTGCAATTTACACTTTCTAATATTAAGTGTTTTAGTTTATAATAACTCGTTTTAAATTAAATTTTGTTCCAATCGCATGCTATTTAACTCTAAGGTTATACATTTTATTAATAGCTAATCTTTTTACAAATTGCTTACTCTTAAGCATACAAATAAAATTTTTTGGACTATTGCTACTGTCACATTCGTTAAATTGTTCGCCCTTTTTCCGCTTTCCGTTGCTCCGCCACTCCATTTCCACCATTCGCATTAACCGCTCGTTCTTCCGCCTCAGCACCCATCACTGTTATCCGCCTAATTGCCGTCTGCGCCGGTGATATGCTCATTTCAGAAATCGAATCGAAATCGCCATTATTTTCCACCTCAGTGCAGGAAGAACCTGAACCGAAGGAACGCATTAAACTTGGACTACTTATGGTAAACTCCAACTCAAATGGATCGCACAGCTCACTGGACGGACTCACACCATCGCTCACCCACTCAGCGCAACTACTTTTTGGTGGCGGGCGTGGCAGACTGTTGTGGCAGATTGGATTTTCCTCCGCCGACTGATCCGCTGCCACTGGCACCTCCTGGCCCCACAGCGCTACCGCCCGTTCGAGGTTGATTGCGGCTCTCCGTTGTTGCGCGGCCAGCAACGTTCGTGGGGACTCCACTGGCAGATGGCACGACTGGTGAGCCGGCTGATGCGCTGCCGCTGGGATTTGATGGTGGTTTTGCTGTTGGTGTGGGGGTTGGTGTTGTGCCGACGACGCCGCCGCCGCTGCCACTGCTGCCAGCGGTGGTTGCCGGTGGTGTTTTGATATTTTCGCTGGCCGCTGTCGCTGTTGCGCCTTCTCCACTGGCAGCCACTGCGGGTGTACTTTCGTACTGGTAGGCGGACTGGTCGTAGTCTGTAGCTGAGTAGTCAGCATAGCCGCCTTGTCCTCCGCTGGTGTCGTAGCCGCTCTGTCCGCTAGTGTCATATTGCCCTGCTGTGCCATACTGCTGCTGACTGCCGTCGTAGGCGGACTGATCATAAGCGGATACATCATATGCGCTGGCATCATATTGTTGCTGTCCATATCCCTCGTAGCCGCTGTAATCGGTATTGTAGTCATTGCTGCTGCCGGTGATGGGAGCGGCCACGTTTGGGTCGGTGGTGCTGCCCGATAAATCTGCCGCAGTGGAACCAGTGTTGACGTCGCCAGCGGTGTACTCCTTACTGTAGTCTTTGGTGTAATCTTTGTCGTAGTCTTTGCTATAGTCTTTGGTGTAATCATAGTCGGACTTGATTGGGTCAGCACTGCTGATTGCTCCGTCGATGTTGCTGCCACTGATGAGGTCATTGTTGTTGCGCCTCTTCTCGCCTTCTCCCAAATTGTCCTTGATATTTTCGTCATCGGGATCGTTGAGACCATACTTGTTGTTATAGCTGGAGTTGTAGTCATTGTTTGCATCGCCGCTAACGGTGGGTGGTCGGTCGTAAGCGGGTTTGTTGTATAAGGAGCCGGCGGTGGTAGTGGCGGGTGTTGTGTTGCTGTTGTTACTGGTAGTAGCGTTGCCGCCGAATGTGTCGGATGTGCCGGACTTGCCGAGTATGGAGTCATAATTGTACGGAGAGGACTTGGAGTAGTCATCAACA